TTATCAGTGTGAGTGTTAGTTATAGTGAGCAAGAACCCTCCAGACCTCTGGTGAGTACACCCAGATATATTACTTCACGAGACTGTTCACAATATTATCGCCTGCCCTTGGGAAATCTAAGGGTGTGAGTCGTTTCGACAGGGGTATGGAGGAACTGCTAGACGGTCTGATGGCCAGGAACAGGGGTGAAGTGATTGACCTCATAGGCATTTTGCTTGACCGTCTGGGCCTAAGCCCATCAGAGCTGTTGAAAGTCACTCCTGGGTCGGCGTTTAGGAAGCCTCCTGGTAACCCACCAGGGGTCGGGGAGCTTCTTGATCGTACTCCGAGGGGAGTCTCCTCCAAAGATACCCCCGTCGGCTTCTCCATTTCTGCGCAGCCTGAGACAATCAATGCCATGACAAAGCTGAATAAACCGGCAAAAAAGAAGCGTAGACTTCCGGTAGACCTTCCTCCGCTTCCTCCTTCCTCGAAGCCAGCCTCTCAAACAACGAGAAACTCCAGCGCAAAGCCAAAAAAGACAAACAAAAAAGCACCTAAATTATGTGATGAAGCACTAAATTTCTCGGAATCCGAGATATCAACAAATGAATCCTCTGTGAAGGGTGGTGTAATGACTGATGTCAATATGAGCGATGGCTCTGAAACGGGTGAAAAGTCTACTTCCACTGTACAGGGTGGCCCAAAGAAACAGACTACCCAAAACGACGAAACAAATCAGGTTGGAAATCCCACGGAACAGAAAGCTAGCTCCCCTCTCCCTCCGCACCCTGAGATGCCCCAAAACATCAAGAAAACTCACGTTTCCCCAATTGTCGTTCGCCAGAAGGACAAGTGGGTTCATTTCACGAAGTTGGCTACCTTTCACAAAGTCAACTATACGAAAGCAGTAAACCTGGCTGACGGGTATTAAAGTTCAGCCTTCTTCGATCGAGGACTACAGGAGTATGTCCAAATTATTGGTGTGAAAGAAAATCCCTCATCATACGTATACCCTTCCTGAGGACAGGCAAATCAGAGCCGTCTTCAGAGGAGTCCTGGAGCACCTGGAGATCGCTGACATTGAGAGCGTCTTGGTGGAAAAAGGTTTCCAGCCATCATCTGTCTCCAGGATGATGCGTGGAAATCGACCGCTCCCTCTGGTTTTGGTTCAAGTGAGCTAAAATCAGAAGCATATCTACGACGAACGGGACCTCCCTAATGTCAAAATTAAAGATGAGCCCCAACACGAGAAGACACTGGTAGAGCAGTGTCAACGATGTCAGCAGTTCGGGCATAGCCAAAGGAACTGCTTAGCCATCCCCATCTGTGTCAAGTGCGCCGGCAGACACCTTTCAGGAGAGTGCAAGAAGCCAAGAGCAGATCCTCCAAAATGCAATAACTGCAAGGGGGTGCATACTGGGAACTATCACGGTTGTCCTGAGTTCCCCAAGGTTCGTAGGAGAACCAAGGTAGCTGCAAATGCCCACCGAAATGCACCCACACCTGGAAGGCGTCCTGCCGGAGCATCTGGTACATGCTCGGGTATGAGCTACACAGGAGCGGCCAAGAGCGGTAACACCTCCGCCAGGCTGTCCGCGGCTCTCTCTAGTCCTCGTGCGTCGAAGGTTAATGACATATGCTCCGCCCTGGACTAGATGAAGAAACTCTTCATTCAGTTTCCCGTACTTGAAAAAATGTTTACGGTCAACACCGACGTGCTAACTGGAGCTTGTTAATGGCTAGACAACCTACATTACCTAGCTCTCTTGAGGTTGTATTTTGGAATGCCAATAGTATTTCAAACAAAAAACATGATTTTGAGAACTTCCTGACAGAACATAACATAGATGTTGCACTTGTGCAGGAAACCCACCTGCACAATGAACTTTCTGGTATTCCAAACTACCGTTTCTGTCATAGAGAACGTGTTGGACGTGTTGGAGGAGGAGTTGACATTTTTGTCAAACGTAATCTTCCTCACGTACAATTCGGCATTGACTCGGACCAGTTACACGGCACGGAAGCCGTGGGCGTTGAACTCCAACTGAGAAGAGGTCGTCGTAGACTAATCTCAGTTTACAACCCTCCGTGGAATCGTCTGCTCCCAGAATCATAAGATGAACTGCTGATGTCGACAGATACCCCCACAATTGCTGCTGGTGACTTCAACGCCAAGCACAATCTGTGGAGCAGAATTACCAATGCGAACGGCCGAACGCTCCATGCGCATGCTGATAGGCATGAGTATCGAGTGATGGGTCCAGATGAGCCTACGTTCTATCGTGGGGATAACAGACCTGAAGTGCTTAATATCGCACTATTCAGGAACGTCTCCTTGTCCTGCGAAGTGTACACTTTGTCGGAACTTGACTCAGATCATAATCCAGTCATCTTGATGCTGGGTGATGATCCCCCTCCCCAAGATTATCGCATGAGGTCATCCACGGATTGGGAAGCCTTCAAGGCTCATCTAGTGGAGACACGTACGGACTATGAGGCGCTTCGAACTCGCAACGGTATCGACGCGGCAGTGGCGGATTTCGAATTATATGTGAACAACGCTTTCCGCGCAGCCACAACCAGGACAGAGTGTCCTCTGCGAAGCTACAATGAGTTTCCTCCCAGGATAAAGAACCTTATCCGGGACAGAAATCGACTCAGACGAGTTTATTCAGCGGACTCTCTATCCTGGAGACTAGGCTGTGGCTAGCAGGATGGCCAACCAAGTTAAACAGGCCATCACTGACTACAGAAACGAGAGGTGGAGCGAGTGTTTGGAATATCTCGAACCCGGGGATGATGAGCTATGGCGAGTCACCCGCAGGCTCGAGAAGAGAAAATCCGCTCTCTCTCTCTCTCTCTCCTTTTCACGGACAGCGCGACATCTGCTACTCCCCAGCCGAGATGGCGTTGGCCCTTGCAGACACTATAGAGAGTCAGTTCCAATTTAATGTTGATCCGGATGATGATATTGACCGTGATATCCGGCTGGAACAGCGGTTTGGCGCATCCTTAAGGAAAATGATGACGACGTGATCCGTCCAGCTTCGGAGGAAGAACTGAAGGAGTACATTAGGGCCTCCAAACCCAAGAAGGCTCGGGGAATTGATTCAAATAACAATAGGTTGTTAAAGCAGCTCCCGGAGAACTTCATCAGATACCTACTGGACATAATTAACAGTTCAATCGCCCTCAGATACTTCCGCCGAAGATGGAAGCATGCCGTAGTCGTCATGATTCCGAAACAGGGCCAGAACTCGCTGTTTCCCCAGAATCATCGTCCGATTAGTCTGATTTACTCAACGGCTAAGTTGACTGAACGTGTTGTGCTGCAAAGGTTGACCGAAAAAGTTGAAGACCGAAATGTTCTGCCTGATGAACAATGCCGTATTCAGGAGGACACCCTACACCGAGCTGCAGGCAATGAGATTGGTCGAAAATTCCATCTCAGACTAAACAATAGTCTATCTCATCCTCCTAGACATTCCGAAAGCCTTTAGCAGGCTTTCAGAATGTCTAGGAGGTTGTTTATTACACAAAATGCTCGATTTCGACCTGCCTCGGGGCCTGATCCGGTGGATTAGGTCCTTTCTGAAAGGCAGAACATTTCAGGTCCGAGTTGAAGGAACCCTGTCTCCCGTCAGGAAAATCCAAGCTAGAGTGCCTTAAGGAGCTGTGCTGTCTCCGCTATTGTACATCCTTTACGTGAGCGACCTTCCGAGGTTCAATCACATGAAGGTTTCTCTTTATGCCGATAATACGGCTCTCCTCGCTTCTTCCATGGTTCGAGGGTTGGCGGTCGTCTACATGCAACGCGCATTGGACGACCTCGAATGCTGGTACCTGGGATGGAAGATTCGGGTGAATCCAGAAAAAACTCAGACGATAGATTTGGGGAGACGTAACGTTTCTCCAGACACAAGAGTCACGATTTCAGACAGGGAAATCGAATGGCAAACGCGAGTCAAATATCTAGGTCTTTGGGTAGACTTCAGTTCTTTAAGATTAGTTAGACAAGTTAATAACAACCGGCAACTAGATGCCTATGAGAGTGTGGAAATAAGTAAACATAATAATATTATGAATAACGACAACGGACCAATACCAAATAGCATACTATACAGGCTGATTCACGGTGGATGGCACATTAGACGTTTCTGGTGAACCAGACAGATGCTATTTGTGTTGTCCAATAACAATCTACTATACTTAACACGAATCATTAAATGAGTACATGCGATTTATTTTTAACTCATGTGAATTTATTTTACTGAAAAATATTATTTGAATGACTTTCCCCCAAGTAATGGAAAGAATAATATAATTAAAAGAGTACATTCTGTTTGAGTTGAGGAATTTAAATATAAAAAAACTATCATTAATAATGCAATAACACAAAGTAAAACAGATTTTTTTATCAATACCAGTTGCTGCGTTCTTTGTTTAATACGCCTAAGATGAGTCCATCTACTAATACCAGTTGTTCTTGAATCTAATATAATACAATTGGTCGGTCGATAGCCAGTCGGTTCGACGTGGATGCTTTGTTCACTTACTCGAATTGACCGCCGTGTTGGTCGGTAATTCAAGCCCCAGGCTGAACGATCGATTTTCACTTGCTATCGTCCAACTCGTGTTAGGAATCACACGTTAAAAGGTAAGACCCAATTAATCCTTAGCTCGCACAAGTTTCGACTTCTGAGGGTTGTCGTTCGAAGGGGTGCGACAGCTGGTTAACGGAAAAACATATTTTAAAAACAATTCCTTCTTGAAAATGAAAGGTTGGTGATGAATTAAAATCCAAGTACCTTTCAGCGATCGGAAATTTAACAAACTTCAAATGTTGAATTTGTATTAACGAAATTTTGACAAAAAAATTATTTTTTCAGTTACCTCGTACTCAAAATATATATGGAGTAGATGAAAAATAATCGAGTACGATAATCAGGCATTTAGTGTTAGTCATGTCTGCAAAATATTTACTCCTACTTTGATAAATTAAGTATAAGTATAATTACCTAATTCAGTTGCCTTCTCCAATGTTCTCAAAAATTCTTTATCCTGGGCAAGAAATTTTACTATACTCCTCTCCAAATCCTTTTCGGAGTTTATTGCTCTTGGAGCCTACAACAATGCCTCAAGTAAAAAATTTTTCGAATTTATACTTATTATTTTTCTTTCAATACTATAGTATTTACGATAAATTCTTACCCCTAAAACTATTACAAATGAGGACACTCCTAAAACCATCACCATTAACCATTTGTGCACCATTTTGGTTTTAGTCGACAGGGAATTTTCACGACTTGAAGGTTTGCAGCAGGAAATTTTCAAATAACTAATTTCGTTTGCAGCTTTTGGTTTTATAGCGAAAATTGTGAGAACACCAGTGGCGTGGGGTTTCATTTTAATGAATTCTCAAAGTTTTAATGTTTGGGCAATTAAATTTTAATACGTGACTATACTTATTTCAGAATCATATTAGATTTTTGAATACAAATTAAATATTTCAAAAGTGAAAATCATTATGCATTTTTGGTGTTTTTGATAATAGAACTCCACATTGACGGTAATAGACCGTCAATAAAGATGGATAAGGATTTCATTTGCAGCAAATATGTTTTTTCTTTGAGTTGGCTTCTCTGTTTATTTGTCATTAGTATCAGCTGGCCAGTTCATTGTTCACATCGTTATCTAAACTAAATACTGAGAATACTAAATGGAAAATAAATATATGAACAAAAACAATATATGACAACTGACACTAATGACAATTCACAGAGTAACCAACTCAGAAAAAATAAATGTGCTACGAACAAAATCCTTATTGATATGGACGTTAAAATGAATCAGATAAAAACGACTTTCAAATAGCAAATAATCCTCAAAACTGATTAATACAAATATCATCTACATAATATCACAGTTGGCACTGATGATAACTATACATTGTAGTCAACATAGAAATAATAAATGTTCTTCAAATGAAATCTTTATGGTCTGTTGAGGAATTCTAACAAATTTAATGACTGAGGGCCAGTTAAAAATATAATTTTACTTCAAGTTACTCGTTATTACAGTCATAATTATTCTGAATTAAATTTTGACATATTTCTCTCTAAAAAGTTTCACAGATACGCTATAATAGAATAATCTCAAGCAGGCTGTAAATTACTTCAAAATTATAAGCATTTTGTATTCTAGAAACAATAGCAATTACTACACTCGAATCATCTAGCCTAGAATTAAATATCTGATTGAAGTGTGGGTTAAATTTCTGGAGAAAATGATTAACATTTAGGAGTGTTTTATAGTCCAGCTTAAGAAAGCTATTGCAAACACGTGTCATGGTTTTGTAAATGTTTTATAGTGGAAATCAAAATGAAATAGATTATCATGTTTTATATAAACTTGTGAGAACTTAAAATAACCTAGGTGTTACATTTGAAGGTGCGATTTCTAGCACGAGTTGGACGATAGGCAGTGAAAACCGATTGCCTGGTCTGTGGGCTCGAACCACCGTTTCACCTAGCGGTCGATTCAATAAGTGGAATGAACCAGTCACACCAATCCAACCGCCTTCCACCCTGCCGAATATTAGGTTTATTGACCATGATATCATTCCACTTGAAGAGTAAAACGAAGCCTGCCTACATGCAATAGAGAATTGTATTTAAATTTTCTTTGTCTTTCACTAATTATTTCCTGATGTTTCTCTACCGTTTCTGAATCACAATCATATGTCTATTTTTTCCTAATATCCTTTCCCCAAAACATCATTTAACTTTTTGACTTCACCGATAAGGATGTCTTGATGGATGGGTGAAGACGGATGGACGGACAGATGGATGAGTCTATAAACACTTTTCCATTACCAGAACAAAACTACCGTCTGTATTTTAGTTCTGGTTTAAAAAAGTGTTTTCAATAGATTTATTTTATGCCAGGGTTCCAAACTTTAGTTGTCAAGATGGACGAGTTTGAAAATATTAGGGAGGATATAAAAGAGATGAGATGAAATATATAGCTAAATGTACACGGCACAAGAGCGAGTTGAGCCCACAGAATCTTGACCCCAAACATTTTACAAACCTTAGTGTCATAAGCTCTAGTTCAAAGGAAACTATATCCTTCAGGTTGAACGAATGACGTTTTTTGTGAAGGAAAATCAGTTTCTATTGACCTTTTTGGATATTTTCACCTGCAACAATCTGAAAAATATGATAATTGCAATGGAGAACATATTTTTCAGATTGTGAAAGGTGAAAATCTTTGGTGTGTTCTTAGTACTACTAAATTGGTGAAATTTTATGATTTCGTTATCGATCGCCACGTTTATTCTGCCTTCGAAATGTATGATACCTTTACGATAATCATATCATATCTTCTTCCACTCAGTATAGCACAAGAAATGGTCATCACCAGCTTTGATATATGAGCAGTTGTTCAAGTACATGCCATTTACATTTTAGTACAAATTTTATGAATTGTTATTATTTCAATTCCTTATTGCCCAGTTGAATAAATCACATACCCATTTTTCCTAATTTAGATCAAAATGTTATAAAGTAACTTGCAGGTGGCTATGTATGGTGATATGAAAAATTAATTGATTTTCTAATAGGTGAACTCTACACACCATGGTCTTCCTTGGTTACAATCTCCAAAGGTTTGAACTGCAACTACGGCAGTCATCTTCAGTGACGTGGTCGAAGTACTCTTCCTGACGTATTAAGATGATCACGGCAAAACCCGGAAACCAACCATAATATATTTAGTGTCTGTTGAAGTGCTGTATTGCCTAAAAGCCAAATATAATTTTAGGAGAGATACATTTTTGGGAAAGAAAGGTTTTGGCTAAGTTGATTCATGAATCATGTCTGAATAGATTATGTTGCATTATCAAGTTAGTTTACGAATGAAAAGTACCTGAAATCCCAGGTTTCTTCCATAGAAGCAGTGTTGATTCATGTATCCAAACTGCATAATTAACTCTTCAATTGTATATATATGGTGCTGAAGTTTCAATATGTGTGAAACTTCACTTGATTTAGAGAAGCCATGTCGGTGATAGGGTCAACGGTAATGGTTTTTGGTGACTTAATAAATATGTAATTTGGATCATATTTTTTGATATATCTATAACATCTTATGCAGTTACCATAGTACTGCTGTAGGGAAACAAGGCAAACGAGTTTATGGATATTTGTCTTTCCCAACGCCAATGGTTTTTGCATGTTACCATGACCGTGAAGAATTACATAATGGAGTGGAATTATATCACACATCATTCGATTTACTTGGAATTGAATGCTGGGTATGTACTGGCTTTTCCGGTGTATTATTGAAGTCGTCCCTAAATTGACATTGAATTAGCGACACTATCACTTATCCACATCAAAATGAGTAATAAACTGCTGATTATCGGATTTTTGTGTTGTTGTCATTTCCGGAAAACAATTATCTCTATTCACAGGGTACATGATGCTCAGTTGACTAATTGAATTATTAAATGATAATAGCGATGATAAGTTATTGAAATGAAATTGTTCGTTCAAGATGATAATCCAAGGACAACTCATACTTGAGGTTCGAGTTTCTAACATACCTCTTCACTATCACCCTGTATATAAGTAATTAGGCATCAACATTTTTGATATAGATCACCCGTAAGATTACATGGCATCTCGAAAGATTTCTAACAACTGATGTTAGTAAGACCAACGATATTTTTTCGAAATATGACCAGCGACATAAAACTGGATTTGTTGTGTTTAAGAGCGTTGTGACAATTTAGTGACAAGAAAATTCCCTAGAGTGTGAATAAAAAAGATATTTATTGTAACGAATCTGAAACTGCCCCTGATCCATGCGCCAGCCGATTCATCAAATAAATACATGACTCACCGCGAAAGAATGCAGTCTCAACCGCCGCGAAAATTCTAGGCCAGTATCGAACAGACTACAGAATTCTACGATGGACCTTTACCGATATAAAGGGCCGACTTCTCGTCCAGAGGGGGCAGTTGAATTTAGAAAGTGAATNCTTTAACATCAACGCTATAACTCCGTATATCTACCGTCTTACTGAAATTATAAGCTGGAATTTGGTTAACTGTTTCATCACTATAGACAAACGAGAAATAATGTGCAGAAATATTTACAATATCATTGCTATTTTCGCTGAGAGAATCATCATAATATATTTTGAATGGAAGGGAGTATATATTTTTTATTTAATTCCAGAAACTCTTGGGCTAATTGTTGATGTTATTCCCTATTTTATTTATATATCCCTGGTGGCAAGTGTTTTTCAAAGCTTTGCATTTATCTTTCAGATAACAAAGTTTTTCATATTTATAAAAATTTCCGTTTGAAAGTAGTAATTTCAAAAATAAGTACCACGCCTTTATTTGTAAATGGTCTAACATAATTTACTTTCATCCCTGGTTTTATTAAGGTTTAAAATACAAATTCGGTATATTGAAACACAATTCTTTTTTTTAATGAATTCAGATGAGAAAAACCATAACCTGGGATAAAATACATGTATTGGCCAAATCCAGGGCAAGTTTTTTTGCAGAATATGTATGTATCATACCAATTATGTTATCATTCAATATTCAGTTAAATGGATAAGTAAGTATATTTATCAACGAAAACGCGGATCGATAAATGAATGTTCCAGGTTGGAACTTCCATTTTCATAGATCTGAAATATTTGGACAAATGAAAGCACTTTCACAGTTTTTAATGTCGATTTTCGTAGACTATTTGGATGATCTACGTTTCGCTAACTATTACAACATTTGGTTTCAACATGATAGTGCTCCATCGCACACTACCAGATGAGTATCTAATTACCTGACTGAAAGGTTTGGTGATAAATGGCTAGGGAATAATGTTCCGGTGAGGTGGCCAGCAAGATCTCCAGACTTGAGTGTTATGTCCTTATGGGGTACGCTGAAAACTAGAGTTTATGGTAACAGGGACTATCAAAATATTGAGGACTTTCAACACAGCATTGTTAGAGAATTATTGTTATTTGTTCAAAGTGGTTGTTCAATGTGGTTGTCGTCTTTCAGGATACCAATTTAAATACATTTCCGATGTCCTAACACTGTTTCTATCGTATTTGTATCAAATTTGTATCATATCTCTTTTTTCTTCATTCACGAAAGCCATTTTTCGCCAAACATTCAATGACTTGTTCAATAACAAAATTTCATTGAGTGTAACAAATTGAAAGTCAAATTTAGAAACATCAAAGTCAAAGCCCAATAGCCTCCAATTTTTCGAAAAAGAATGATAACTTATGATACATCAATAAAAAGGTTAAATCTGGTTCTATTT